CCCCGAGTGGCTATACCGGGTGAGTTCATCATAAGCAATTTTGTTTATTCGAGTGGACTCTATAATTTTAGAAGTTGCTTTTTCTTTACGATTTCCTGCTGGTGTGCGAAAGGCCGCCGGATCTTGGTAATTTAATTATTCGCACACCAGCAGGAAATCGTATCGAAGAGAAAGCAACTACTGGAAACATACAGTTCACTCGAATAAACAAAATTGCTCATGATGAACTCACCGGGTCTTGAAGCCACTTTCACACGGGGTTGTACGACGTCGCTCGTCCGCGGAGAAAGGTATGAAACGAGGGTGCTAACTTAGTTGGGGGGGGCCACGCGGCGGCGCGGCAGTCTGCTCACCTGGGCTCTCTCGAGCGAGACAGTGTAAACTCGAACATTCCAGCTTTTCACGCATGTCAAGTGACTGCCCCCACCCCCTAGACTGCCTACACTCCCCCTGGCCCACGGATTTCCGAACATGCCAGGCGAGCAGACTGCCGCGCCGCCGCGTGCCCCCCCCAACTAAGTTAGTACCGAAACGAGACATAGAAGAATAAGTATGAGCAGACAACACACGAATAAAAGCAACACGGCGCAAAAAAAACATCGAAAAGACAAGAAATACACCAAAACCAGGATTATCGATCGGAGCACGCGATCTGCGCCCCGCCAGAGCGCGTATTGACGCCCTTTGCACTGCCGGTGCGGTCGGCGCCGTCGCGCGGAGCCCTTGTCCGATGGTACAGTCACGTTCTCGCGCGATTGATGGCAGTTCCCTTAAGATCGGTTTCGACCTTGACATGATTGGAAAGTAGCCAGGGCACGCCCGAAGCAATGATTGTTCGATGCGCTGCAAGAAGGCATGAAATCGGGTGAACATCCACACCGACAAAGCGTTTAGTCGAGAGAATTCACCTCAGTATTTCAGAAAAGCGGACCCCACCTACAAGCGGGAGAGGCGCCGAAGAATAAGAAGAAATTTGCCGGAATCCTTAGCGAAGGCACACTACTTCTCCAATGCGCCTGGACTATTTGACTTTCTAAAAAAGGATACAGTCTAGATAGCACTACGAAGTCTCTATAGCACATTAAAGTTCTTCTTATGCTTATTGCCACCAGCGTAGATCTGCCTTACCGTTTAGATCCAAGCTACTAAGGCAATCTTTACGCGGCGCTTTCATTCAGGAACAAGAGCAAATTACCGGCAAGAATATCTTGCTTCGCGGGATCCCCTTGTATCCGACACAAGAGCCTGAGAGAGTAAAGCACCGCTGCACAACGCGGAGCCCAGAGCAGATTCGACACTAAAATTTCTACGGCTCAAAACCACTTGAGATTTTCTTGGACACCTTTATCAGTTGTGATCTTCATAAGGCAGATCTTATTTTTTTTCGTCGAAAAAGATAAACTGAGTTCAACAAATCATTAAGTAGGCACCACAATTGAAGTGCCTTCCTATCCTGTGGAACCAACTGCAGAATCTGGATCTGCATATTGCTGAATCTCCGATATTCCTACAAGCTAACTCCAGGCAAGCTGCTTTGTGGTGCTCACCCAGTGAAGATGGTAATTCTTGAGGCGGGAAGCGAAAGCTTATGACTGACATGGTAGGACTGGAAAGTGACTACTGCATATGATATAGTCCGTTCGAATGTTATTTGTGAGCTCTCCGCTCCTTATTCAAATATCTGGGTTTTTCACAATACTGTTGACACAGCCAGACATCTGGCCACGTTGAGCAGTTGTGAAGCACTTGACCTCCGCACGAACTTGTCTCTAGTCAAAAAGCTTATTGTTAGATCGTCTAAATCTACTGAAAAAGTTATGTAGTTTTGCTACGTATGACCATAGAATCGCAACAGAACAGGAAAAAAAGGAAATTCTACTACATATTGCAGCCCTCTTGCCCAGAGTGCTCTCAATCCCCAAAAACATTCAATTTTCTTAGAAAATTCACTCGTAATGCTTCCTGAAATGAAGCGGACTATAATTCCGAAGTATGTTGAATTTGAACAAGTACGTGGCAAGCCGTGAGCCCTTTCTCCTCACTCAAAACATATGGTTCCAGGGGTGCTACACACTTCTAAATCGCACTGCATATGTTCTCCGTGGAGCTGTTTCCTTATATGCAGGAGAGTACCCCGACTCGATGATTAATCCTTGTGGTAACCCTAGCATTTTATTGTATTTATCCAGACCTCAACAAAGAATTGCGAAAGGGTAGAAAGAGAAGCCTGCTTGAGCCCATTCAGATCCGGGATTTCAGCCACGGAGTAATAGCGAGACAGCGGCGCTACCAGTCGCTACTTTCGTCTAGTACGCCTGAGGCCCAGATTCTTCTACTTTCTTGAGTCAGATTTACATAAGGGGAGGTGAGTGGGGAGGTCGAATTAAATCCCTTGCGGGTCAGGGAGTAGTACCTACGCGGCCATCCACTCAATTTCAGACTGCCACTAGCTTCTTTGCAAAGTTTTTCGAAACTCTTCAGATGGTGAGTCTCTCTAGAGCTCGCTTTCCTACCAGCGCTTCCATGTTTCTTACACGTCATATACCATCTGATAGGAAATCGTCTGCTCACAAATATGTAGCGCCTCTACCTTCACTACAGAGGTTCTGAGTTAAAAGCCTGTGAAAGGCTCAGTTAGTGAAAATCAGACGGACTGACAACTACATACCTCTAACTTTACGCTCGTTGAGCGGAATCGATAAATGGTGTACTGCATAATAAATCACGCTACTAATATACTAATCGAACAGTCCACCCTTAGGTCGCGGGTAGAGCCCTGCCATTTCTTGTTTCGGAAATCGGTTTTTCTAGTTAACTCCTAAGCCACAGCGGCTTTTCATCTAATTTTTCTGCTGAAGGCCAATTGTTTTATATCAAGAACGTAGCATAGGCATACTTTCTGCTCTACTCAGCCACATTTTTTCCTTCAACTTTAGTTGACAATCAAGTCGAATCTTTACGTCATTCGTCATTTGGGTTTAATTCATTCGTCATGGTAGTGCCTAGAGGATGGTTATCGCAGGATGGCACACATTATTTCGAGAAAAATTTAGCTAAAGATGAACGAAATCAATAGAGCCAATCATGTAAATTTAGTCTGACTGTCTTGAAATCCTACTATATGATCGCTAAGCGCGTTGTGCCGATGGGGGTGTTCGTGTGTGTTGTTGTATCGTTGTGTTGTTCTTCTGACGGTAAATTCATAGGCGTGCGGGGCGACAGTTGGGTGGTTCGTACAAGGAGTTGGTTCAAGTATTATGATCACTATAGTTGGGTTTGACCGAACATATTTTGGCTCGGACGTCACAGAAGGTGATCACAACTGATAAGGGCTGATAAAAGGCGCTAGAACGCAAGTGTCGCGAAATTCATAGCTCGGGCACCAGTGGTCGTCAGGAGTTGGTTTCAAGATATGATATAGGGGGTGGGACGGGAACATATTTTGTGGGGGTCACAAAGTGATAACGACTGATATGAGCAGATAAGAGGCGCTGAAACACAATTTTCACAAAATTCATAGTGCGCTTCGCAGCAGTCGTCAGGAAGCTGATTTTGGGACATGATATGGGGGTTGGACGGTAACATGTTTTGTGGGGGTCACAAAAAGTGATAACGACAGATGAGGACTGATAATTACGATATGCGTACGAACGTAGAGATTACTCGAAACCAGATTGCAGATAATGCATTTCATTTCAATATCATTTCATTAGCGTTATAATTGTAAATTCAAACACCTTTCAACCGCTACACCTTCTAGAGTTCTTGAGGATGAATGGGATGCTCTAATAAATTTGATAGTAAATACTGGGCATTCCGTCTTGAGATTACCAAAAATTATTCGACCGCTAAATTTCCTCGATTCTCGATGCATGGTGGTTGTTTACATACATCACTTTAGCTGTGCACTTCACTGCGCTTATCAAACAGTGAGATACAGCCAAGATGGGCAACGGACAGTAATGCATTTAACGAAGCAGCTATAGTTAAGCGGTGAAACCAAACTTCACCGATCTATTGACCCGGAGCTAACGCGCGAAAACGGATACTTTTTCAAATACATAACACTTATACCACGACTATGAGTCCTTGCAGGAAGCGATTGCATATGAACAGTAGAGCGCTCAATCCTCGAATCGTGCTGTCGCTCTACACAATGTGTAAATTTAGCGCGGTCTCAACTTTAAAGGTTACAGCTTGTGAATTTGACGCTGAAGGCTGCGTTTCTTGTTGAATAGTGTACTCCTCTCTGTAATTTAACATGAACTCTTTCAGAACCCTCTTGATTCTTCCTGAATTAAGATTCGTTATCAAGATAGCCGTAGCTGAAGCGCGCGCAACCAACTGGGCCCACTCTGGGATGCGCCGTGTGCTTCACATCTCGTTGGATTTGAGGACCTACTTGAAAGATAAAATATCCCTAGAAAACGTGCGAATTTCGGATCCTTTGACTTGTGTGGTGATGAAACACTAAAGTCACTAAGAATTGCTAAGCGGACACCTCTAAATCACGAAGATTTTGTGTGGACGGAATCAATTGTTATTGGAAATACTCTGGCCTGGTATCGATTCGATCCTTAATGTTTGTCCTCCGACGATGATCCTACTGTATCAATCGGGCCCGATCTCTCCCCAGCGGGCCAATACGACCCCACCTCTGTGGCATGTCGAGTCGTCCCGGAGACCCGCTTGTCCAGGTCGCGGCCGCTTGAGCTTGTTGTTATTCTGTAGTTTCGAGTGCAAGTGTCATGGCTGGATTGGGGGAGGTGTGAACATTTCAGGATCATTGTGCTAGTGAGTTGCGGGTGTATTGCGATTTCTGGATTTCTGTGTATCGTTCCTCAGATCTATTTTTTATTATTTGCTTGCTCGTCTCAGCTTTTAATCATTCGCATGTCGTTTGAGTGGTACAGTTTTTGTTGACCATAGCTCGGGAACTGTCGAGCAGTATTCCCAGATCGTTCAAGGTCTGTGGTGATTGTTAATGAAAAAGATGTTTTATGGGCTGCACTTCTTTCTTCGTTAGTATTGGTAGGTTTCCTAGTTTTTTTTTTCCTTTTTAAATTGGTTTCTCACAACCGCATCTCTTTAGGTAGGTATATCTTCACCGATTATTGCTTCATTGAGGAACTGCTTCATTCCCTGATCATGGATGACATCAAACCTTCTGGAATGCTCCAATTTTTTCGCTGTATTTTCTTTTGTCCAATGCGAAGACCGGTCACAGGTGAGATTTTGCGAGTTTAGGCCCTACCATCTAAAAAAATCTGGTTTCTCATGCAACAACATCTTCTCTTCTCTTTCTCTATCTCATCACTAGATCTTTTATCATGTTTAGATCAAACTTTTAAAGAAAACTTTATTTTTTCAAGGTCGACTGAGAAACTGCCTCGAAATCGTCTGATAAATTGGTTGATTCAGTTCTACAATTTGCTCATGGCTAAATTCTCCCTATACTTTACAAATGTACTAGCAAATTTTTGTAGCGTGGACGACCTCAAGGTAGGAGTTACTCCATATTTCATGCGAGAGCATTTAAATTAGATTCATTAGATTTAGATTCAGTTAGTGTTTAAAATTTTAGATTATTGACACAATTGACAAGGGGTTTAATTTTATATCAAATGCTATTCAGATAGTGAAGAAAGCCGATGCTGTTTGCTTAGCGATAATTATGGATCGAGAGAACTGTACCGAAAAGTTCTATGGCTCGTTCAGGACGGCTGCCTTCCCTTTTTATAAAACTTTTTGCTAATGATATCTCCTTTGTACAAGTTTGTATGTATAAGCCCGGCATGCAGTGAAACTGTAAAAAAATTTTTGTTGCTAATGAATGTTGATTAGTGAATGTTTTGTTTGTGAACTGTTCTTTGTGAACCTTTAACAAATAACAAGAACTGCATTCGAGATAAATCTTTTCCGACATTAACGACACATTCGCCACTGTAGAATTATGTACGAAAAACGTCAATAAAAAAGTGGCTTTTTTTCGTTTTTTGAATTCTTGAGCGCAAGTGTTGCTGGAAAAAGGGATATATCGGCGCAGATATATCCCTCTTTCCAGCTGCACTTGCGCTATATCATCATATAATATGAAAAATTTACATGTTGCATGAGAAACCAGACTTTTTTAGAGGTAGGGCCTAAAACTCGCAAAATCTCACCTGTGAGCGGTTTCCGCATTGGACAAAAGAAAATACAGCGAAAAAATTAGAGCATTCCAGAAGGTTCGATGTCCATGATCAGGGAATGTGCGATTCCTCAATGAAGCAGTAATCGGCGAAGAATAACGACAGCTCTGCTGAACAGCCAGCGTTTGCGTACCTGAAATTGATCAAATACTTTTGGTCTTGAGTAGGACGATCCCTTAAGATCGCACGAGCCGTCAGCAATAAGGAGGGATTAAAAATAAGAAGTTGAAGTTGATGGGCCAGGGCCAAAAGGGTTAATGTGGACCGCAGCAAATCTGTCGCTCCAATCGACAAAGTCAATTGTTGCCGCGCCCATCGAAAAAGTGCCGCGTTACGGCGCCGCGCAAGTAACCGCGCGCGACGGCGCCACTCCCGGACGATTCTGTTGCACGCTCCCCAATACGACCCCCCCCTCTGTGACGAGGATTCCTCAACGCACGCTTGACCCTGGGTGTAACTACGATGCGCCGTACCGTAAGGGAGCGATCAGCGGCCACGAGTCTGTGGAAAGAAAATTCTGTGTCAGTAACCAATGAATCAAATCTATGCAAGAGTCAGTGCTTTTATCGAGATGGCGTATATCGAGTGTCCGATACAGTGTTTATCGACATCACCAATTCTTTTAGAGAACATCGTTGATTATCCAAAGTTACGGTTAGCATAATCTCAGCACTACGTCTCTGCCGCCGTCTGATTTACAATTGGAGAAACACGCTTAAATCATAAAGGTACAAAAAAGCAAACGCCATTACTCACATTATCTCTTCTCCTGTGTGAATGCCCATTTCAAGAAGCACCATTGCAGGACATCTTATTTCGACTAGACCTGTTCTCGCTCCTTTCAGATACTTTACAGCTTCAGAGACGAATTTCTTTTGCTGTAAGAAAATTATACTCGTGGAGACTACATCATAACGGTACCCTGCCAATATATAATATTAGGTTGCAAGGAAACTTCTGGCCGTTGCAGACCCTGAAGTTCAAATGTGCATATCTCGACTCAAACGCAACGTTTTCGATCGCAATAAAAACCTGTTGGATCTACTCTTCCTTGCGAACATTATATGTGTTTGATCAATCCGTTCACTGGAAGTACTGGAGTTCTAGAGGCGATGAACTCGGCGAAGGTCGTTTCATCATCATGTTAGATTTCGTAGCATTTCTCCTTTGAGGTGCTATCCAGACCGCTGAAAAAGGGCTGGCGAATAGGTTAGTACTTCAGCTAGTTCTTTTTTTGCAGAGTCGGTTCTGCGGTCGACAGCTGAGGTGTACCGCGGAAAAGAGTCGGTCCTTTATACCTGCTTGGCGCAACTGTCAAGATCACTTCATTATATAAAGCAGAACTTTGGTGTGTCGGTTTGTCGGTGTGTGTGTCGTTCTGTCCGTCCGGACCAACCGCTCACAAAACCAGGGAGTACGAAGGGCAACACTTCGAGATGTTGATGTCATGATCATGATAACACCCACAGCGGCTATATAAACACCGATCGAGCACACTCAGTCTCATTCTACATGGTGCTGCCGTGGCAGCCGGATCGGCGGGCGGCAAAGGGGCGGGGGGAGAGAGAGGGGCGAAAGAGGGG